TAAAAGAAGTTTGACTCATTTCTTAACTTTTTATCTTTGGTCACATGGGACTCTGCAAAATGCTGAGAAAGAGCACCTGAGAGAAAACGCATAAATTAGTAAAATATACACATGGTTTCTTGGCAAGAGATTTTTTTAAAGAATTGATTAAAAGAGATAAAACAGAGAAAAAGCCTAAGATTCGAATCTGGTTTCCACTGGTTTGCATTATGGCTTGAAAACATTTAACAAAATAAGCATTTGAGCATTTTATAGACACTTTATATGTGAAATGCATTTATATAAATCACAGTGAATTTATATACTTGTAAAAATATGTAATTATATATAAATATATAAACTAAAAATATATAAATTCATTGCAATTGACAGCATTTTTAGGACTTTTATATCAGTATGTGTGCTACAGGGGCATAATATTGATGTAAATAAGTGTAAATGTGTATATATAGTAAAATGCATTCATATAGTACATTTATAATAATAAGCAATCGATTAAATATTAATATAAAATTATTTTAAACTATAAATAATTTATATGTTTATTGTAACAATATTGTAACATTTAAAAAAAAAAAGAAAATTGTACAAATCCAAGTATTTAGACAACTTAATATTTTTCATATTGAACTTTTTGGAAGAATTTCTGCTAGAAAAAAAAAATACAAGAGTGCAAAATTTCACTTGATATATCCACCTGTCCCTCTCTTTTAACTTCATGCACTGAATGGGTTTTCTCACATTTCTGCCAGTCACCCAAAATGAAGAGTTTCGGTCCATTCATGGCGCTGGAAGACTTTAGTGTCATATTCTCATGCATATTTAATTAGGCTCCTATAAATAGGGTATTTATTTTTCTGCTGCGTAAGGGCGCCTGGCCGGTCAGTGTGGGAGGGGGAGAGCGTGGCAATGGTGGTTTTGGGTGAGAGAGTGACTTAGGGACTGTCCCTTTCAAATAAGCCTCCGTCATATTTAGCGGGCCTCAGGTCTGTATGGAAATATCACTCATTTATTTATTTGATGAAGAGTTTTGATAGGTAGTGAAATGTTTTTTTTCCCCTGTGATATTACTGGAATTTAAATCACAAAGAACTTGGAGGGCAGAGGAGCCACCGGTATGTTATGCATTGTTTCCGTGTGTGTTTTTATCTGAGATTCACTTATAAAATCTTTTTTTTTATTTATTACTCTTTCTCTATTGCTACAATTAATCTACAATTTTACTGTCTGTTTTTTGCTGCTGCATTCTTTATGAAACGCCCCCTTTGCATGAGAAATGAGTAACAGTGCAGAATTCTGTGCTTGATGTCACGTATAGTTTTTAACAGCCCCATCCTTCAATAGCAGCATCTTTGCAACGCCTGCGTTCATTGCGAAAGGAAAACAAAAATAATTTGTTATGTGGTGCACAAACTGTTCAGACTGAAATGATCAAAGACCTTATTTAAAGCTTCAGCATAATATTGTCAGAATCTGTTCCTTGTTTTGTGTGTGTTTTGCTCCCCATGTGCCTTCCTTGCCCTTATTTGGTCCTTCCGGTTCCTGTCCCCATTTAGTTCTATTAGTTCCAGGTGTTCCTTATTATTAGTTCTCCTCCTCACCGGTCTGCCCCTCGTTATCTGCCCTATTTGAGTTCTAGCCCGTTCTGTTCTCCCTCGTCTGGAATTGTATATGTCTACCCTTGCTACGTGTGTTTTCCTTGTTCCCTGGAAGTTCATTAAAACCTATATGTTTGAATTCCACTCCTCATCTCCTCGCTCCTTCGTCTCCCGAGCTCCTCACAGTAGCGAACGTGACAAATATGGTCATGCAGAATAAGACATTAATATGTGTTTTGTACGTACTAATAGACAGCCTGTTATGCTAGTAATATGCATGCAAATAAGCAACTAGTTAATATTGAGAATTGGTCCCTAAACTAAAGTGTTGCCACCAGTGGTGTGAATGAAAAGTTATATTCTCTGAAAATGCCATAATACTGTATTTCACAGTGTTCACTGTTCAATATTCACTATAAACTGTTTTACTGTCAAGTAAATTTATCTGATTTAAGGATCTTCAGTAAAACTTGACTATAAGGTCAAATTAGTTAACATTAACAATTAAGACATTTGCTACAGTATTTATTAATCTTTTTTAATGTTAGTTAATAAAAAAATACAACTGTTTATTGTTCATATAAGCTTAGGCCGTTGCATAATAATAACAGATACAACTTTTGACATGAATAATGTATTAGTAAATGTTTAAATTAATATTAAATGCCAAGTTCTGTCATGAAACTCTAGATGGCGCAGGCTGATGGGTCCTTAATGTAAACTGATGATATTCACAGCGTTAAACAACTTTGTACAAGCTGATTGGCTCATGTTGCATACGAAGCCAATGAGCTTGCTGCTTTACATTTAAATGGCTGGTTAACATTCACTTGAGCATTTTGCAGCGTGCTTTCAGTTACTCTGAAACTCTCCACCTTCCCCAGCTCCACCTGTATAGATCTGCTACGGGTTATTATATGTTATTTGTTCAGCAGCGGGATGTCTTAAATTTGGCATTGGCATTGGTATTGGCAGTAGCAAGTTCCTGTACTTGCTTTGCAGCAGCAGGA